GCAGAAAGGGATTCCTTGTTTTGGGCTAAGTTGTAATGTTAGTGTCCTTGTATCTTTGTATTTTCTTCTTTCCTTTCTTGAAGTTCTTTGTGACTCTTGGAAGATAAGTGTGTTTGWYTTCYACTTRTAAAYTTTCTACTGATGAATTAATGAAAGTGTTATTGATCAAAATAAATAAATAAAATCAGAAAACAATTAAAAATTTGTGAGGTGGAGTAAAGTGAAGATAATACAAAATCATTAGTCCTTTGTACATGTATCCCTTTTGCAACGTCCATGGTTAGACCATTCATCACCTATTAATTTCATGTTTATATGCCAAGGGAATCTGTTAACAATGTTTTTGGCTTTATTTGGAGAAGGATTCCCTCAGAGAAGGTTCTGACCCTCTTTGTGCCTCATGGTTTTCCTTTTCCCCTAGGAGGAGAAGGGGTTAAATCATGTGAAAGTTCCTGAGAGAAGCAATCTGGTCAATTTGGGAGGGGACTAGTGCCAGAGTCTCTAAATTCCTCTCTCCTACAAACCCAGTTCAGCTTATTATAATCAGGGTAGACAATTAAGTTATATGAGAGAGGAGCTTAGAGATTTCAGTATTGATGTTGTTGTGAGAGGATGGGCAAATGCTTCCTTACAGAGCAGGATTGCTTTTTTTTTGACAAGTACAGACCAGGATTGCTTCTCCGTTTAGATTCATCAATCTTAATTTTGATGGATGGTTTTCTGGGCAATTCAGGCCCCAATAGCAGGATAGAACTACATCAAATCACACAGGTGCAAACTTTAAAGAAGCAACCACACTAAAAGACCTCTCCTACTCACAGATTGACCAAAAGACAAAATCAAGATCCAGAAAGACAACTCCACCTCTAGTAAAGTCCCACCTCACAGGATGCCATTTCTTCCCTCTCTTGCCATGGCCTCTGCCTCTACTGCTTTTTGAAATGCCCTATTATCCTTCTTGTGTCATTAACCTCCTTGCCCCTACTATTAATTTCCACCACTGAGAGTCCCCTACTATTAACCTCCTAGAGTATCATGGCTCTGTTGCATCTCTACAACATTGCTAATCTCAGTTGCCAAGTCCACCCCCTCCCTCTCAAAGTTTTGTGATACTAACACCTATATCTTGATTCTTGACTTTCCTACTCTCCTTATCTTTTTCCTGAACCTCCTATTGGATTTTGGTACAAAATTTTGTTAGTATTAGATTTTCTTGATTATTGTCAGCTTAAAATAAACTCTAATGAATCATTCATCTATGATACAAATAACATCAATAATCATGAATTAGATTTTGGTGCAAAAGCAGTAAATCATGTTCCATAAAAAATATTTAAATCAATAACATCAATATTCCAAAATATGGAATAAGAATTTGACAAATAGAAATTTATATATGATATCATCAGAAATAGCAAGCAATAATAAATTGTAGGCAGTGCAGAGATGTGAAGTAATGAAGGAGAATTGAAAGAACTCATGGAGCTTCTCAGAGCTGTGCGTAGAAAGAAATGTTAAGTCTGTGGGTCCGAGATTTGGAATCCCAAACTAGCACCAGTGTCCATTCTTTTAGTTTTAATCTAGTGTCTTTCTTCAAATCTGCTACAGATATTGCTTTGGCCTCATTTTTCATTACAGCTTACTATCCACTAAATCCTTTGGAATAGAGTGGGAGGAGGTGAAAATGGTTATTCGGAGGAGGAGGAGAAAGAGATTAGAATCAATCAGCTTTTAAAAACAAACCTCAAACGAACTAAATCAGAAATAAAAAACTAAAATATCCAAGCCCTAACCTGTTCGTTATTGTCGTTTTTGAGGTGTTTCGTTCTTCTTATCCACTCAAATCTCAAAAGAACCAGCCAAATCGATGATTGTCTCGCTGCTTCGATACTGGAGAAGGAGAAGCTGAACTGTGAGTATCATTTGATTGTCACTTGCATTTTGGGCATTCGCATATAAGAATGAAAGAAAAAAATAAGTGTCGTAAATTGTGGTTAATACCAAAACACCCTTAGTGGCATGAAGTATAATACAGTGGTATCTATAAAGTGCCTCTACATAAGTTCTGCTGAACTATATCATAATTGATTTCTTATAGAGGCATTTTTTATCAAATGCCTCTGCCCTCCCGCCCCTAAAAGTAATCTTTCTGGTAATGGAATGAATATAGCTGGCTTTCGGTTTTGTCTTACAAACAACCAACTAATAAATATAACTAGCGCTACTTTCTTCTTTATAATTTAATTGATGTGATTAATTGAGGTTGGTCACTTTAGCATATGAAGGCTAGGAAGAAGCACTTAATTCCCCCAAAAAACACATATGGAACAATGTATATCCATATAGGATTTTAAGCTCAAAGGAGTTGGGGATACAAGAGAGATCATAGTTTTGAATTTTAATCGAGTAGTGAGTACTAGATATGTTATGCTATAAAGGACAAAATTTAATAAAATCCTTGCAAGTTTGACATGGAAAATGAGAATAGATTGATAGAGAGAATACAAGGAAATGCACATGCATTCATAGAAAATGAAATTAGTAAGAGTAGAAGAAAGGTAAGGATAAGTTGTTAACCCTTCTCCTCATGGCTTGTTTGAGTAGTGATGGCTAGTGTTTTCAACTCGCAGTTGATTGACTGGTTGAACTACTCAAAGTGTTACCCAATAAAGATTTTGGGTCCAGTTTGAGTAAAACCTAGGGAGAGGTTAAAAACCATTGACTTGATAAAAAACTGTCCAACCCAGACGGTTGGGTGTTGACCCATTCGACCTGGTCATTGGGTCGTGGGTTGCTTACTAACCATGTATGCAAACTTTGGGAGGCCTAATTTTGCATTTAGATGTCTCTGGTTATGGTATTTTTTTTTTACTTTGGGTAACTTTTTGATATATGTGCATCCAAATGTTCCATATCCCGTTTATTTTTGCCAAAACCCCTTTTTTGCCTCAAATTGCAATTTTTAATATTTTTTTATGAATAACAAATTTAAAACTAAATAAAAAACATAAATTAGACACCTCATTCTTGCGCCCTTCTGTCTTTCTGCAATACTTTGAGCTCCAAACATGCTTTAGCTAACCTCTCAACTTGGGGCATTTTTTAAATTTTACAAAAGTTAGGGCCTCAGAAATCTAAGACCATAAGTACATATAGCAAAAAATATTCAAATCCAATGACACCAAGATCAATTGAACCCAACACCGTTTACCCCTCTTCCTAAGACCCAAAGTTGTAACCGATTTCGATCGTTCGATCAGAGTCATTTTGATTCTAAACCTCATTTCATGTCAAATCAGAAATCCAAAACCACTGGTATGTAGATCCTATAAATCCAAATCCAATAACACCAAGATCACCCGAATCCGACACCGTTTACCCCTTCATCCTAAGACCCAAAGCCGAAATCAATTCCGATCGTTCGGTTGAGATCATTTTGATCATGAACCTCAGTTCATGTCAAATCAGAAATCTGACACCATATTTACATAGAGCCTAAAAATCAAAATCCAATGACCCCCAGATCACTGAAATCCAACACATTTACCTTTTCATCTTAAGACCTGAAGCCATTGCCGATTCCGATCGTCCGATGGGAGTCATTTTCATCCTGAACCTCATCTCATGTAAAATTAGAAATCCAAAATCATAGGTACGTATATCTCAAAAATTCAAATCCAATGACACCAAGATCACTTTAATCTGACACTGTTTACCCCTTTATCCTAAGACTCGAAACCTGACACCATTTACCTCTTCATCTTAAGACCCGAAGCTAGAGCTGATTTTGATCGTTCTATTGGAGTCATTTTCTGAACTTTTGGAATTTTCATTGGACCATAAATGCTCCCTCTCTAAAGTTTAAATTGGAAAACAATATAAGTCAAAATTGTTATTTTACATCTTCATTTAATGCTTTTATACTACTTTTAAAAGTGTGAATAATGGTGTGGACCTTCTATACTAGAATACCCTTATTTTTTAATTTAATTTCTCTCTAATTGTGAGGGCATTTGTAATTTGAACTACTAAATTTCTTCTCATTCAATTCCCTCTCATTAAGTTGTATTATTAACTCCCATTCCTTTATTGAATCCTATATTTAAGATATTATTTTTACAAAATAAAAAAATTTAAATTTTATCAGTTAGATCTACATCCAATGCTTTTAATGATATAAATACATGTTTTTTTTTTTAAATTTACCCAAAAATGGAACTATTTTTCCATCGTGGTGGTGAGTAAGCAATTCAACCATCTAAGTCAAGTGGGCTAATCCATGATATCATAATTAAATAAAAACTTTAAAATATAAACAAATAACAAATGTAGAAAAATTGGGCACACACAGACACATATTGAAGGAAGGTGAAATCCATTAGATGGATGGCTGAACAATGCAAGATGGCTGGGTGAAATTTCAAAAACTTTCTTTCGACCTTCTGGGAATCGTATTCCTTGTTTTAGAAAAAACTGCATTTTTCAATGATTGTTCTTATATCGAAACTGGACCAGATCTGAAACCAAAAGGAGGGAGAAGTATACCTGATGCGGATTCTACAAATGTAGATCCCAAAGTGGTAGTTCATGTCCAAACCAAATCCCAAAACCAACATCCACTAAAGATGGCGCAATTTGGAATGCAACCGGTTCAGCAAGGTAGTTTTCAGCAAAACTGCAATCCAACTCTTTGAATCGAACTAGGGAGGTGACCACGGTTTTTCACTGATATTTTCTTGCAAAATCAGATATCAAATTGATCAAGACCAGTCACAAGAAGGGGAGATCGAATTAAGGTTTATAGGGTGACAAGAGCAAAGAGAGAGCTGAAAGCAGATTGATAACTCTAGCAGTTTGATCTCTCTTTTCTTTAAGCCTTAAGGAACACCACTCCTAATAGAATTAGGAGATTCCTAATCCAAATCTTTATTTGGATTTGGACTCTATTAGTGGATAAGAGTTATCCTCTTAGGAGAATGGGTGTTCCAGACCCATATCCAAATCCATATTCGCCCAAGTCACATGACAGCTTAAGTAGTCATGTGACCACTTGATTAATCTCATTAATCATGGGATTTAGGCCCATTAAGCAAGTGGCTCATGTCCTAAGATAGTTGATGGCCCATTTAGGTTCAGTTTGTATGGCATGGGACCCCAACAATGACCTTACATAAGCCCACGTGGGTTCGGCCCAGCCTCTGAGAAAAGGCCTAGCCAAATTCACTATCAAGTATAGTGAACCCCTGAGTCCATCAGTATAGGCTCTTAATGGGCCCAATATTTACAGTTAAACGATCATTAAGTCCAGCCAATATTTACAGTATAGGCTCTCAGCCATAATGATCAAACACTGCCCACCAGGGAAGGACCTCTCACCTGACTGCAGGGTGCAATGTTGCACTCTCTACTCGGATGGGTCCTAGGAATTAAAACCTTTTGCAAACACTTTTCCTTAAAACATAATATATATATATATATTATAAATATGTTTTGCAAACCAAATATCAAACACGATTGAAATCGATTACTACCAATTTTGGTTTCCATCAGAGATAATGCAGCCCCGATCATTCACTTTATCCGACAAAGGGGCTGATCCTATCACTATGATCACCCACCCAGATTGCCCTAAGATACCCAGGTTTTGACCCTTAAAGGATCTCACTGGTTGGCATATCAAAGACAACCCGATCCGACACCCAGTGTAGTACCATAGTCAAGTCCAGGAGTTGTGTATAACTTTCCAGTTTTGCGCATCAGTTTTGAAATATTTTGTGAAAACTACTCCTTCAAAGTATTTTCTAGAAATATTTTGTGGAAACTACTCCTTGAAAGTACTTTCTAAAAGTATTTTGTGGAAACTGCTCATTGAAAAAAGTTCCTAGATGTATTTTGTGAAAACTTTTCATTGGAAGTACTTTATGAAAGTATTTTGTGAAAACTACTCTTTAAAATTACTTTCTAGAGGTATTTTGTGAAAATTGCTCCTTAAAAGTACTTTGTAGAAGTATTTTGTAAAACCACTCCTTGAAAGTACTTCTTAGAAGTATTTTCACCAAACCACTCTTTGAAAGTACTTTATGAAAGTATTTTGTGAAAACTGCTCCTTAAAAGTTCTCTTTAATATTTATTATTATAAGGGTAAATATCTTAATCTACCCTTACTATTCATGAAATTGACAAACTATACCCTTATTGTTTACATATTGTCTTAAAGTACCCTTAAGTTTTCTAAGAATTGACACGTGGGTAAACACTAACAGAAAAAAAATGAAATATCGATTTTTTCCTTCACCATTCATCAAAATTTCAAAATAAAACCCAACTGATGAAAAACCCATAATTTCCAATTTTTTTCCAAATGCAACTTCCAAACCCAAAACCATATTTGAGAAATCCTCTTCATGCATCTTATTTCAGATTGAAAATCTCATGGTTTTTTGTAATGAACCTCAGATCTGAGTATCAGATACCAAAAGGACCAAAGGCGTCAAAGGTGGTGGAATTGGGTCTAACAAACCCTGCGAAGCAATTTGTGGGGTAACGACATCCATGGCCACTAAAAAATTGGCAATAAAGGTATGGCGATTAGGCATTGCAATGGTTCTATTGGTGCATACAAGGGCGGCTTGTGTTGCTCATGGGTCCGAAAAAGGTGTATTGAAGAACAACAACAAAAGAGGAGAGAAATAATACAAATGATAAAAGAGAATACATTGAAGAGGAGGGAAAACAAGCTACAGGAATGTTTTAAAGGACTTCTTTGAGCTTTGATTGGAAAAAGGCTTGTGAAAAAAAAAAGTTTTAGGTCCTTAACCTAGAGTGCGTCCAAGAGGAATGGAAAGACAAAGGACTTTGTTGGATGAATTTTGGTTTCTTGCAATTGAAGATTTGAGGAATACCATTCAGTTCTACAAAAAGAAATACTAAAGATTCAAAGAGGATTAGTGTTTTGAGTTTAGGAGTCCATAGTCAAGGAAGTGTA